AAAAAAAAAAAAAAAAAAAAAAATGGGCACAGGAAATGAATAGACATTTTTCCAAAGAAGACATACAAGTGGCCAACAGGTACATGAAAAGGTGTTCAACATCACTAATTAGTAGGGAAATACAAATTAAAACCACAATGAGATATCATCTCCCACCTGTTAGAATGGCTGTTAAGAAATAACAAGTGTTGGTGAGGATGTGGAGAAAGGGTACACTTGTGCACTGTTGGATGCAGCCACTATGTACAACAGTATGGCGGTTCCTAAAAAAGTTAAAAATAGAACTACCATATGTTCCAGCAATTCCACTTCTGGGTATTATCTGAAGGAAACAAAATCACTATCTTGAAAATATACCTGCACACTCACACCTATGTTCAGTGCAGCATTATTTGCAATAGTCAAGACATGAAACGGAAACAACTTAAGTGTCCATCAGTGGATGAATGGATAAAGAAAATGTGACTATCTTTTTATCTATCTATATCTATATATCGATCTATATCTATATCTATATCTATCTATCTATCTATCTATATATATCTTAAAAAAGAAGGAAATCCTGCCATTTGTGACAACATGGATGGAACTTGAGGGCATTGTGCTAAGTGAAATAAGTGAGACAGAGAAAGGCAAATACTGTGTGATCTCACTTATAATATGTGAAATCTAAAAAAAGCTGAACTCAGGACTTTCCTGGTGGTCCAGTGGTTACAAATCCACCTTCCAATGCAGGGGACATGGGTTCGATCCCTGGTCAGGGAACTAAGATCCCACATGCCACGGGGCGACTGAGCCTGCGCACTCTGGAGCCTGTGCACCACAACTAGAGAGAAGCCTGCCCGCCGCAACAAAGAGCCCGCACGCGGCAACTAAGACCCGACACAGCCTAAATAAATAAATATTAAACAAAAATTAAAAATAAATTTAAAAACCTGAACTCATAGATACACCACCAAATGGTGGTTGCCAGAGGAGGCGGGGAGAGCGGGGGGAGTGGGTGAAGGTAGTGGAAAGTACAAATTTCCAGTAATAAGATAAATAAGTTCTGGGGATATAATCTACAGCATGGTGACTGTAGTTAACAAGATTGTATAAGTTAACAAGATTGTGTATTTGAGAGTTGCTAAGAGAGTGTATCTTAAAAGTTCTCATCACAAGAAAAAAAACCATAACTGTGTGGTGATGGATGTTAACTAAATTTATTGTGTTAATCATTATGTTATACACCTAAAACTAATACAGTGTTATATGTCAGTTTTATCCCAATTTTAAGAAGTGTGTAAAAGAAACCAATAGTTAATTACTGATAAAGCTGCATGGTGAGATTACAAGTAAATTTATTCTCTTCTTAAAACTTCTTTTGAATAAAATAAACATTTCAAAGAAAATGCTTCAGGCTCTTAAAATACTTGAGATCTATGGTGAATTAGGTTTCAGTTTAACAAAAGTCACATTAAAAATCTCTTAGTTTAGGTAAGCTACCACAAAACAATACCAAGACAAAAAGTAGTACTTGAAAAGGGGAAAACTTTCAATACTACTTTAACTCATATTGTTGTAGTATATAAATAATTATGTCCTCCTGCCTATAAGGACTACTGGTCAATAGATAACTTGGATTTATTAATAACATTCATAGATCTAATTCTGACATATCTCGTAAGTCATACCTTGAAAACAGCTATAAGCTTGAGAAGGATCAACTATTATGTCCATTGGGAATGAGTTGTGTGATTCCTGAGAATGTTTCTCCACCACCTCTACTGTATCACTGGATGAAGATGATGATGAAGACAATCCCAGTCTAACGTATCTTCCTTTTCTACCACAGAGTGAACAATCTACCGGTGTGGCACTAGGTCCCCGGGGCAGTTGAACTTCATCTCTGTGGTAGTTTCTAACAGCTCCACTGTGATGCACAGAGCGTTCTCGTTGCCATATATAATGGGTTGGAGCAATGGCCATAACCTATGGTGGAAAGCTTTCTTTTAGAATTTTAATAAGATTTTAAAATTTAGTAAAATTAAGAACAAAAATTATAAATCAAGAACAAGCTACCTGTAAAACTAGATCTAAAAATCTGTCACCGATTTTTTTTTTTTTTAGAAAAAAAGCATTTCCAGATAAGGCAATATTACCTATAAAGTGATTCATTGCTTGGATCCGTAAGATAATAATTGACAAAGTATTTAAATTATTTCAAACAGGAAATAGAACTGAAGCAACCTTCCAGGTTTTTCAATTCTGGATATTATAGGTTTGGGAAAAAATAATACAGTTAGTCCAAAACAATACATAATTCTCTGGAATGTACTGGGTTGAAAACAATATTTTTAATTGAGGTTTCCAGCTATGTATGTTAGGCTAATCTTAACATGTTTGCAATCACAGCAAGAGATATGGTGAATGAAAACACAGGTAAGGTGCTTAACCTCTCGGTTCCTATTCTCTTGTCTGTGGTATGGAGAGAATAATGGTGTCTATTGCAGAGGGTTGTTGCAAGGATTAGATGAGGGATTATTCAGAAAGTACTCAAGATTCCACACTACCTCTCAGGCATTGTTCTCTAAGGTGCCTTTAGAGTCAGGATAGACTTAGTTTCTTATTCTGGCTCTGCCACTTCCTAGTTGTATGATACTTTGCAAGTTACTTAACCTTTCTGAGCCTCAATATCTTCATATGGAAAACTGGGGATACCATCTGCCTCATAGGATTGTCCTGAAGGTTAAATATGTGTAAAATCCTTATCACATAGTAAACATCTGGCGAATGATAGCCATTTAAGACAAGCTAGCGAAGTGTACCTACCTGCTGACCTCATGGTGTCTAAAACTTCTAAACAGAATGTTAGAATGTTACTTCTAAGCAAAAATGTTTAGTTGCAGTTATCAGTGACCCAAGGTAAATGAGAATTGTAGAATTTGAGAGCTAGACAGTGCTTTTAAAAAAATTATTTTATTCAAGTATCTAGACAAAATTATTATTCAAAAAAGACAGACAGTGCTTTATTAATTGCCTAGACGAGTGATTTTCAAACTGGTTTGAGGAGCCCTAGGCTTCACAGACAACATTAGGGGTCGCAGGAGGGGCTAAGGGAAGACACAGCAGGTGGAGGACCTCAATTTGGGGGATTGTGTGTAAAATTTTGTTTGGAAAGAAGGCTTTTGCTGTTAAGAATGACAACCTTAAAACCCCCAGATTAAAGCTGATTCCCTCAGAAAATAGGGTTATTGTGCCTCCCCCAAGACAATGCATAAAGAATACTAGCAACCCTAATTTTTAAAGTGTACTTTAGGATTGGATTTATTTTATAATCTACTTCTTAAATCCTTCAAAACAGTTTTCAACCAAAGACATGTAATAAAGTTATATATCTTTTAAAAGGTAGAAGTAAATAAAGATATTAACTCTAAATATACACATTTCTATGCCAATGTAAAACTAGGTGCAGAGATACCCAAGGTGAGGAAGTAGAATATCAAATTTTCTTATTCCTTCCATATTTATCTACTATTTTTCTCAATATTTCTGTTTTTATTGCTCATGTCTGGAATGTCCTTTCCCTTTATTTGTCTTAGTATTTCTTTTCCTTCAATGCCCAACATAAGTCCCACCTTTCTAGAAACTCCAGCTTTCAGATTTTCTTGTTTTATTATTAATGCTATATTAGGACTCAGCATGTAAATGTTAGCACTCAGATGTACCTTTTTTTTTTTTTTTTTGCGGTACGCGGGCCTCTCACTGTTGTGGCCTCTCCCATTGCGGAGCACAGGCTCCGGACGCACAGGTTCAGCGTCCATGGCTCACAGGCCCAGCCGCTCCACGGCATGTGGGATCTTCCCGGACCGGGGCATGAACCCGTGTCCCCTGCATCGGCAGGCGGACTCTCAACCACTGCGCCACCAGGGAAGCCCCAGATGTACCTTTTTATGCATGTAATCTATTCTGCCAAAAGCCCCCTCTGGACAGGAATAGTTTCTCATACACCGCTTTCAAATGCCTTCTCCACAATATTATGCAGTCATTAAATATTTTTTAATGATAGATGAAAATATTTAAGAATTAGAGGCCACTAACATTAGGAGCCTTCAGCAATATGATTTTTGTAGGAATCCTATATAGCAAAGTCTAGTGAAAAGAGCAGAGGGAAATATGAAGTAAAGGGCACAATATAGAAGATTTGGTACTGTTCTTTCTGCAATAAGCTAGACATCGTAGTCTCTCCACATGTTAACCCACCTAGAAAAATGCATGCACACTTACCTATTATGCTATTTAATTCCTGAGATAACATAATAGATATAAGTGCACTTTCTAAACTAACCAACATAAGAGATGGAGGCTAGATGTCAGAGAAAACAGAACACTGGGAAGCCATTAGATGTGAAGTCAAGTTCTGGCTCTGCCACTTAACTGATATATGATCTTGAGTAAATCTCAACCTCCTTGGTCCTCACAAGTATTTTTGTAAGGATAAGAAGATAATTTATATGAAAATATAAATTTGTGAAGCACAATGCAAGTGTATAGTATAATTACTGTAAGCCAGTTTGTGGCTACTATCATAACTTGAGTTTATTTTAGGATATGTGACTAAAAAATGGGTTGACAGTATGCCAGTACTGGACTCTTAATAACAAATGCATAGAAAACTAAATTTCTAACAGCATGTCTTGCTACTATAATGCAGCAAACTTCAGGGCAAGGATGATGTAATACTTCTTTATAATAAACCTCCACAACACTGAACTTAGTGTCTTACTCATAAATTAGCTGTTAAATGAATACTTACGAGAACAGGATAAAATCTACTAGGTAATTTCTTTTTCTGTACACCAACATGATTCAAATGTACCTGGTTGGAACAACCAAAACAAAAAAGATCTTATCTTTATCTAGCTTATCTATCTGGATAAGGGTCAGTGCTAGGTGAGCTCAGTAAAGAATTATTTTTTGGAGGGCTTCCTTGGTGGCGCAGTGGTTGAGACTCTGCCTGCTAATGCAGGGGACACGGGTTCGAGCCCTGGTCTGGAAGGATCCCACATGCCGCGGAGCAACTAGGCCTATGAGCCACAAGTACTGAGCCTGCGCGTCTGGAGCCTGTGCTCCACAACAAGAGAGGCCACGATAGTGAGAGGCCCGCGCACCGCGATGAAGAGTGGACCCCGCTTGCCACAACTAGAGAAAGCCTTCACACAGAAACGAAGACCTAACACAGCAAAAATAAATAAATTAATAAATTCCTACCCCCAACATCCAAAAAATAAAAATAAAAGAATTGTTTTAAATTTTATTGATTTTTGGCTGCATTGTTGCTGCACATGGGCTTTCTCTAGTTTCGGCGAGTGGGGGCTACTCTTCGTTGTGGTGCACAGGCTTCTCATTGCGGTGGCTTCTCTTTGCTGCAGAGCACGGGCTCTAGGCATGCGGGCTTCAGTAGTTGTGGCACATGGGCTTAGTTGCTCCGCGGCATGTGGGATCTTCCCAGACTAGGGCTCGAACCCATGTCCCCCACATTGGCAGGCGGATTCTTAACTGCTGCACCACCAGGGAAGCCCAAAAATTGTTTTATTGTTTTGTTTATTTAAAAAAAGTTTTTAATCAAGTATAGTTGATACACAATGTTTCAGGTGTACAGCAAAGTGATTCAGTTATATATTTTTTCAGATTCTCTTCCATTATTGGTTACTACAAGATATTGAATATAGTTTCCTGTGCTGTACATTAGGTCCTTGTTGTTGTTTGTCTTCACAGATAAGAAGGTATGAAAAAGAATCAGAAGCTTTAAGTTCCATTCATTCTGTCAGTCAGCTATATTTACTGAGAGCCTACAAGTCAGGCACTGTTACTGCATTCCTCTCTCCCTTCATCCCTAGGCAACCACTTTCTGTCACTTTGGATTATATATTCTTTACAGTTGATATAAATGAAACCATACAATATGTGGTCCTTTGGGGACTGGCTTCTTTCATTTAGCATAATGTTTTCAGGGTTCATCCATTTTGTAACATGTATCAGTACTTTATTCCTTTTAATTGTCAAGTAATATATCATTGTATAGATATTTTGTCGATCCATTAATTAGCTGCTGGACATTTCGACTGTTTTCACAACTATTGACTATTATGAATAAGGCTGCTTGCTATGAACATTCATGCACAAGTTTTTGTGTGGACATAGTTTTCATTCTGTTGAGTATAAAACTAGGAGTGGAATTGCTGGGTCACATGGTAACTCTGTTTAGCATTTTGAGGAAATGCCAGACTGTTTTCCAAAGCAACTACATGATTTTACAATCCCACCAGAAGTGTATAAGGATTCCAATTTCTCCACATCCTTATCAATACTTGTTATTGTCTGTCTTTTTTTAAAAAAAATTATAGTCATCCTAGTGGGTGTAAAGTGATATCTCTTTGTGTTTTTGAGTTTGCATTTTTCTGATGGCTAATGATGTTGAGCATCTTTTCATGTGCTTTTATGCCCATCTGAATATCTTTTTTGAAGAAATACATATTCAGATCCTTTGCCCTTTAAAAAATTGGGTTGTCTCTTTAATACTGAGTTGTAAGAACTGTTTATATATTTTAGATATAAGTGCCTTATAAAACAGATGCAAAATTTTTCTTCCAGTTTGTGGGTTGTCTCTTCACTTTCTTAATGGTGTCCTTTGAAGAACAAAAGTTTAAAATTTTGATGATGTCCATTTTATCTATATTTCCTATTCTTGCTTGTGCTTCTGGTATTATATCTAAGAAACCTAATCCAAGGTCATGAAGATGTAACCCCTATGTTTTAAGATTTTTATAGTTTTTAGCTCTTAAATTTAGGTCTTTGATCCATTTTGAGTTAGCTTTTTATATATAATATGGAGTAGGAGTCCAAGTGCTTTCTTTCACACATGGACATCCAGTTGTTCCAGCACAATTTGTTGAAAAGACGATTCATTCCCCACTTAATTTTCTTGGTACCGCCAAAAGTCAACTGGACTCTTCAATTTTTATTCCATTGAGGGAGTTACTACTCAGTATAGGGTGGTAAAGAACGGTTTCTCTAACATGACATTTAAGCAGAGTCCTGAATGAAGTGAGGAAGTGAAGCATATGAATTTCTGGGGGAAAGCATTCCAGGTAATATGAATGGCAAATGCAAAGACCCTGAGGTGGGAGTGTCCTTGGTGCATTTGAAGAATAGCAAGTAGGCCAGAGTGGTTGCAGTGAAATGAACAAGGATGGGAGATGAAGTGAAAGAGATAAAGGAGGAGAGTTGGCAGACCATGTGGATCCAGGATAAGTACTTTGTGTCTTTTACTCTATGTGAGATGGGAAGCCTCTGGAGGCTTTTGAGTAAAGGAGACATGATTTGATTTTCTAAAAGATTTACTCTTTAAATCTGCTATGAAGAATAGACTATAGGGAAGAAAGATTGTAAGGGAGACTATTTGGAAAGTTATGACAATAGTTGAGGCAAGATGACAATTAAAGTAGGGTTTAGTGGTGGAGGTGGTGAGAAATGGTAGGATGCTGGATTTTCTTTAAGGTATAGATGTGGAAAAAAAAAGTCTAGGGTGACAGATTTTTGGCCTGAACAACTAGAATGATGAAGTTACTATTTATTAACATGTGGACGATTGCAGGAGGAGCAAGTGTAGAGGTCTATGTGGGGGAATCAAAAACTCAATTTTCAGCATGTTAAGTTTGAGGTATCTACTAGATAATGAAATGTAATTTAAAAATTGGATATGCAGATCTGGAATTAGGAGAGAGATTTGTTAGTTCTCAGTGTTGAAGCCTTGAGAGACTAAACTTTTCTGTAAATCCCACTACACAACTGACTTTCCAGGTGTCTAAAACTTTGTAGTCTCTTACACATACACAATTAAGCCACATAACTCTCTGTCTCTTTGTCTGGTGCCAGCAACTGAGGTAATTCCAGCTCCAGCAGAATAAAGTTGTTGCAGTTAAAATGCTAGTCATTGTATTTTAGGAGTGGGTAAGCAACCTGCCATGAGGAAGCATTGCCTATCCCGGCCTCTTCTGCCTCCAGTGCCCCCTCCATGTACTTAGCTGAGTGTTCTACAGGGCTTGAAGCATTTACTTCGAAAAAATCAGAGTGTTCAAATAAGGCCCGCTATCACATCAAGGATGGCAACAGGTGCGCAAATTACCCACTCCTCACCTAGGGAGGTAGTGACAAAAAATAACAAGACAGGACTTTTTCAATGCCCTGTAATTGGAATGAGTCCTTTAAATTCCTTAATGAGGATCCATTAATCTGGGGAGGTGGGTCATACTTACCTAACTTTTCATATTTTTCTATTGAATATAATGTTGTAAAGACTTGGCCTGCTGCACAGTCCTCTAAGTTATTTCTGAATCCTTGCATTTCCCCCAACATTCAACAATCCTAATCCACAAATATGCATAACTGCAATATCTTCATCTCATTAATAAATATAATTAACAAGGTTAATTCTGGGCAGAGTTCTGTGACACACCTCTGAAGTCTCCCCTCAGTTCTGACACTAATCCATTAATTGGTTCCTTTGGCCTGTAGTCATTAAACTAGATATGACTTAATTTTTTTTTTTGGCTGCGTTGGGTCTTCGTTGCTGCACGCGGGCTTTCTCTAGTTGCAGCGAGTGGGGACTACTCTTCTTTGCGGTGCGCGGGCTTCTCATTGTGGTGGCTTCTCTTGTTAGGGAGCACGGGCTCTAGGTGCGCAGGCTTCAATAGTTGCAGCATGCAGGCTCGGTAGTTGTGGCTACATGGGCCCTAGAGCACGCAGACCTCAGTAGTTGTAGCGTGTGGGCTCGGTAGTTGTGGCTCGTGGGCTCTAGAGCAGAGGTCCCCAACCTTTTTGGCACCAGGCACTGGTTTCATGGAAGACGATTTTTCCACTGGTGGGGGTGGATGGTTCAGGTGGTAATGCGAGCAATGGGGAGCGGCAGACAAAGCTTCGGTCACTCCCCCACTGCTCACTTACTGCTGTGTTGCTCAGTTCCTAACAGGCTGTGGACCAGTACCAGGGGTTGGCGACCCCTGCTGTAGAGCGCAGGCTCAGTAGTTGTGGCGCATGGGCTTAGTTGCTCCACAGCATGTGGGATCTTCCCGGACCATTGAACCTGTGTCCCCTGCATTGGCAGGCGGATTCTTAACCACTGTGCCACCAGGGAAGTCCCATATGACTTCATTTAATTACAGCATTATCTAGCCCACATTTACCAAACTTCTTTGAACTAGTACTGCCTTATAGTGATCATTGCCTTCCATTTAATTTTCTACTCCAAATTTTTTTAGTTTGAAACATTAACTTTCTTTACTGAAAACCAGAACATTAGATAAAATAATCTTTTAACTTTTAGTGTCTTTCTGCTTTATATTAATAGAATCTGGCATCAAGGAAACTTTATGTATGCTTTATGAAAAGAGGTATAGTTTTTAAACTTATTTTATACCATGTAGTTCACATTTAACCTTGGGAACTTGAAATTTTGATACTTTAACAGAAATTATTTAATGGAAATTATTATTCAGCTCCAATGTTATTACCATGATGTATTTTGGAATGTGCACGCTATTCTTTCCCAATATACTGGTGATCTTTTTAGAGAAACACTCTAAAATAAAAATACTTTCTAAAACGTAGGGTGCTCTGAAAAACAGAAATGACAATTTTTAATTATTGTGGTATAAAATTAAAACATCAACATTGTAATATAAAAGTTGTACTCATGGTAATCATCAAGGTTAATGGTTTACCCTTCATATACAAAAAAAAAGTGAAACATTAGAAGCACATTAAAAAACATAAAAGGAAAACTACATAAAGAGAAGACAGAGATTATATATATAACGCATGTAAAAATCTTACCTCCTCACAGCATCGCCGGCTTACAATAGCCCTATAGTCAATTCTATCCCAGAGTTTGTCCCTTAACTTTAAGAAATCAGGGAATAATTTTCTCCAGTTTTTCCCTAAAGCCCATGGAAAAATTTCATATTTGGATTCTTCTTCATCTTCTTCAACTGTATTGGCCAGATACCTAGCAAAGAAGACCAACAACTCAAAAAAGAAATGGGTAAAGGACAGGGACAGACAGTTCACACACACACACACACACACACACACACACACACACACACACACACACCAACTTGTTTATAAACACATAAAAGATGTTCAACCTTATGCATGATTAAAGAAAGGTAGGTCAAAAATAGAGATACAGTGAATTTTACCTTGTTGAGTTCTGGATACTTTTATATTCCTATCAATCTTGAGCTTTGCTCTGGGATGCAGTTATATGGAAACGGTCTGATCCTTTCAAGTCTTGCTTTCATGATTTGTTAGGTGGATCTGGAGCAATGTTCAGTCTAGGGCTAATTTCTCCCCACTAAGGCAAGATGTTCCTGAGTACTGTACTCAGTACTGAATTATTCAGTGTGAATTATAAGTTTTTTCAGTCTGGCTGGTGGGAACAGGCACTATTTCCAGCCCTGGGTGAATGTTAGTCACTGTGTTCCCTCTATTCTTACGGTCTTTCCCTACACTCAAATACCTGAGGGGGAATCAGGCATGCATAAAAGCAGGAAAACCAGACAGATAAGAATCATCATCAGTCAATCAAAACTGACCCACGTGATAGAAGTAACAGACAAGGATACTAAAACAGTTATAATTATTCCAGATGTTCAAAAAGATTAGACACATTGAAAGTATACCTCTAGAGATGAAAACTATGTGTATAATGAAAACTACATTGAGTGGGGTTAACAGCAGATTAAATTTTGCAGAGGAAAAGAATTGTGCATTGAAGACATAGCAATATAAACTATCTAAAATGAAACAGAGAAAAGGAAACAAAAATAATGAACAGAGCATCAATAAGCTGCGAGACAACTTTAAGCAGCCTAATAAAGGTGAAATTGCAATCCCTAAAGGGTGGTGGCTGGACAGAAAAAACATTTGAAGAAATAATGACTGAAAATTTTCAAAATTTGATGAAAACTATAAACCCACAAAGAATCTCAGTGAACTCCAAAGCACAAAACATGAAGAAAATTATACTAAGGCATATCATAATTAATTACTTAGGACCAGTAATAAAGAGAAAATCTTAAAAGCAGTCAGAGAAAAAAAATAAGACATGTTAGATAACACAGGAACAGAGATAAGGATGGAGCAGATTTCCCACTGGAAACAATGCAAGCTCCATAGATGACTTTCTAAGAAAAACAGGCGACTCACAATAAAAAAAAATTACAAAACATACAAGGGAACAAGGCACCATGAACAGAAACAGTCCCTGAAGTGTGAAGATACTGGAATTAAGAGACAAACACCCAAGAAAAGGGGGTCTTAAAAGCAATCAGAAAGGAAGGCAAATGATCCCAAGTGGAAGGTTTGAGATGCAAGAAGGAATAGTAATCAAAGATATATAGATATATGGGCAAATCTAAACAAATGTTGAATTTATAAAACAACAATAATAATGTCTAACATTTTGGAGGGCATCAGGTAGAACTAATAGAATTGCAAAACGAGAATAGAAGTTGGGAAGAGTGATTAGAGTTAAAATGCTTAAGGGTCTTGTAATTAAAAATAACTAGGGCAATTGCTAAAAGAATAGATATAGAATGTAAGATTTCCAAACATGTAGAGGAAAAAAAGGCGTCAAAAGTAAAAATATTAAAATCTCAATCAAAAAGAAGATTAAAATGGAGGGGAAAGAAGAAAGAAAAAAATGGGACATACACAAAATACACAACAAGATGGTAGGAAAAATGCAAATATATAAGAAACAATAGAATATTATTCTGCAGTGAAAATGAAATGAACTATAGCTACATGTATCAATAGAAATGAATCTCAAAATAATATTATAAAGCAAAAGAAGAAAGTTACAGAAGAATGATAATGGTAATTATGGTGTATAATTATTTTATTATATAGCCCCCAAATAGGAATAACCAAATAATATATTATTTAGAGGTATATACATAGAATAAAGAAAAGTAAGAAAATGATTACTTGTGGAAAGGAGGGGGCTCTAACTGGGAAACTGTGTGCTGTGAGTTTCTAAGATTCTGGCAATGTTCTATTCTTGAGTCATGGGTACATGAGTATTTGTTTTGCTTCTATTCTTTTACACACACATACATATACATTCCATATACTCTTTTGTAAATATTTCACATTAAAAAAATTTTAAAGGCACAGAAGTGTATAGTACATCTCTATTCATGTAATATACACACTGGTTCATATATAGAAAATTATTCTAGACACATACATATGAAACTGTTAACCGTCCTTGAGGAGGGAGGTCAAGGTCTTGAGATATGAGGAAGACTTACTTTTTTTTTTTTTTTTTGCGGTAGGCAGGCCTTTCACTGTTGTGGCCTCTCCCGTTGCGGAGCACAGGCTCCGGACGCACAGGCTCAGCGGCCATGGCTCACGGGCCCAGCCACTCCGCAGCATGTGGGATCCTCCCGGACTGGGGCACAAACCCGTGTCCCCTGCATCGGCAGGCGGACTTTAAACCACCGTGCCACCAGGGAAGCCCCCAAGACTTACTTTTAATTGTATACCCTCCTATATATTTTTTTTAACCATGTGCATATTCATATTTAGTTACATTAATATAAAATGAGTACGTACATGTTTTTATCCTCCCTTAAAATAACTACTTTAATATTACCTTATATTACATTATATATATATATATTACCTTATTATAAAGCACCTCATTGTTAAACCCATTCAGTTATATGAGTCAAATCATGTCCTTTGTGAAATTACATAAAGTAATTTCTCACTTAAGTATCCCTGAGAGTTCTTAGTAAACTGTAGATAGAGCTGGAGGATGGCCCCTTTCATGCTTGCAGATTAATGAAAAATCTATAATGGACTATGGTACTCCAGTATCAGGACCACATTATTATCCTATTCTATATTAACAATTTTTCAGCCTCAAGGTAATGAAATATCTGTCTCTTACACATGTAAGTTGTCTTCTAATTTGAAATAGATTTTTCTTGGAGCAGAGTCCATTTCTTTTGCATAGGGTTAATTATGTTTATTCAAATAAAGAATTAAGAACCTCCTATGTCAGCCACTGAAGTATGCAAAAAAAGTAAGATACACATTCCTTGCCCTTAAGGAGTCTACAGTCAAGTAGAAAAGGCAATCAAGTATGAAATAAATACATAACTGAAAGAGAATATAGGAAAATGATAATAGAAGTTCAGAGTGTTATAAGAATATATAGAAAGGAAAAGGAGTTGAGTTAAAACTGTGGCTGAGAAAATATTTAATGAGAAATATTGAGTGAGGTTATATCAAAAGAATGATTAGATATAAAAATGTAAATTATAATTCATGTTACTTTTCATATGGAGCTTATAATACAACATGCAACGCAACCTGACATGCTACTACACAGTGTAAGCTAACACAGTGCTTTGCTGGTAATAACATTACAAAACTTGTCAAATCCAATTTGGGGCATCTGGTAAGATTTAAATAAAGTTTCTTTTGGTTTGTTTTCAATTTTCACGTGAGAAAAAAAACTATAAAATAGATATTGCATCAATATACAGATATAATACTAAGAGACATGTAAACAGCAGCTTAGTGTTAAATGGCTGAATTTGGCCATTGGCAAGTCACACCTGAATTTGCTGATTAACTTTTGTGACCTTGGAAAGTACTTAATCTTCCTCAGTTTCAATTTCCCCATCTGTAAAATGGAGATAATTAAAAAAATGTATCTTATAGGGAAGATTAGACGAGTTTATAGAAAACATTTTTGTGGTACCTTGCACATATCAATATTAGCTAATATTATTATATTCCCCCCCCATTTAGCAATCATCAACTCAAATTTTTTATTGAGTTCATATTTTCCTATGCATGGGGAAATGTGTCTGCTGAAAACATGCAGAGATAATTTCTTCTAGTCCTATTTCTTGAATCACTCTTTGATTCTGAATTAAACAGACTTTAAATAAATTCTTCAGTGCTAACGGTTGTTGTGGTATTCAATTTAAATATTTTTATATGTAGTTCCCTAGTTAGGTACTTAAAATTATATTCATATATTCCAAACTGCAGCATTATATCCAGGTACTAGGTAGAAAAGGTTTTGATATTGAGATGTCTAGAGCATTTTCCACAAGCTGTTCAGTGTAAAAGGGCAATAATGATAATTTTTACTATACATTACATTTCAAAGAGAATATTCTGGCTTTTAAAAAAATCTCTAAGTCCAAAAGAGGAAAATTTGGGATAATTTATGTGGAACACTATATAAATTATGGAAATGTGAAAGGTACAGTACAAACTCAAGTGGAATACTGAATAATAAATGTTAGGCATATGGCAGGATAAGACCAGTGAAAAGAACATAAGAATATCCTATTAAAGTAAAAAAACATATAGCTTTCAAACAGGAAGGCCTATTCAAAGATATACATCAGGTTTTAAACAGCCTCTATTTTAAATAAGGTGTTGTATATATTATAAATAACTAGCACAAAAATCACTTAGTAGAAAGCATACTTACAGAGCAATAAAGAAATTTATCCTGGTATGCTCATTTATAGTAAATTTAGCTCTCTTGAAATAAACAAAGGTCATAGCCAAAAGATACTATAGGGAAAAAAGTTAAAAGTTAATATTAATGTTTTGCTTTCATAGTAAAACTGCTTTAAAATAGTTATGTTTATAAGCTAAAATAAAGCATTATTTATCCTTATTATAGAATTAGCTATTTATTTGAGTCCTTATTTTTTGGCTTTCCTTAATCCATATGAACAGTGAGAAATAGTTCTGGATCATTTATGATTAAATTATAATTTTAACCTCTAAATTTTATTATTGCCATCCATTCAGACCTATAGAGAAGCTGAAATAATAATCAAGTGAATAACCACACATCCTTCACCTAGATTCACCAATTGTTTTGAATCAGCTATACATATACATATATCCCCATATCTCCTCCCTCTTGCGTCTCCTTCCCACCCTCCCTATCCCACCCCTCTGGCTTGATGTATGCGTATATGCAAAAATTTTTCCCCTCAACCCTTTGAGTTAGTTGCAGACATCCATACTCACTTTTGAAAATAATTTTTGAAAAAAACTTCTAACCAGAAATTAGAACAACATGGCTCTATCTTCACTGGAATAAAAGTGTTTTAAATGTACTATTAGGAAGACATATGTCTAGCCTGCTATTAGGACTCATGCCAGGTTCTGCCTGTTCAAGTTAAAAACAAGTTATGATACTGATATATTGATAATAGACTCCCTTTCATAAAATGTCTAATGCATGCTACCTTCACAGGTTTGGCCACAAAGGTGATTCCAAATTTTCAAGGTAACTTTCAGTAGAGGATTTTTGATATACTGAGTGTTAAGATACAGTACTCCTGGCTACTTTAAAGGCACTGCCCCCTGCTGTCCAACAACTTTAATTACTGTAAGGTGCTTAAATTTGTAAAATTTAAAACTTTAGAACTCCACATGAACTGGATATTTTACATTAAGGCATTACTGTCAATTTTTAAAAGCATCAGTGACACTGATTATGTTTAAAAAGATCTCACCTTTTAGAAGTACATCTTTAAATATTTATGGATAAAATGTTAGGATGTCTGGGATTTGCTTCAAAATAATCCACGTTTGGGGAGAGAGATTAGAAGAAATAAGAATGGCCATGAGTTGATCATTGTTTTAGCTGGATGACAGGCACATGGAGGGTCTTTGTTCTATTCTCTCTACTATAAGTTGTATGTTTGAAATTTTCTAAAAATTTTCAAAATTAAAAAAACCCTCTGATTTTATTTTTATCTTAAGCTTAAAATAAGAGTTCATATCAATATGAAATTAGTGGGTATTTAATCATGAGCTAGTCTTCTGTTCATTCCCTTTTCTGTTGGTTGGCACATTATTTATTTATTTATTTATTTATGGCTGCTTTGGGTCTTCGTTGCTGCGTGCCAGCTTTCTCTAGTTGCAGCGTGGGGGGGCTACTCCTCGTTGTGGTGCGCGGGCCTCTCACTGCGGTGGCCCCTCCCGTTGCAGAACACGGGCTCCAGGCATGCAGGCCTCAGCAGCTGCAGCATGCAGGCTCAGTAGTTGTGTCTCGTGGGCTCCAGAGCGCAGGCCCAGCAGTTGTGGCACATGGGCCCCGATGCTCCGCAGCATGTGGGATCTTCCCAGACCAGGGATCAAACCCATGTCTCCTGCATTGGCAGGCGATTCTTAACCACTGTGGCACCAGGGAAGTCCCATAGCATGTTATTTTAAATGTAATACGAAGTCATGCTGTATTTTCTGATATGACTAACTGGTCTAAGATGACATTTATAAAGCTGAAATTCTAACTGATCAGCTAAACCTAAATAGTATAGAAACATCACAATCCCTAGTATATAAGTCAGCATCATGATGTTCTTTTATGAAACACTGATTCCTAAATAAAGAACATGATAAACTAATTTTACTCTACAAGATTATTGGGATTTATCTAAATTATCTACAAAATATTAAAATGTGTAACAGACTGCCTTAGTGGAATGAATCTCAGATATTATTACCTGATAAAAAGTAATAATTCTGATCAAAACATATTAAGCCTAATACAGCCAATATTTTATAACTATGAATGGAGTATAACCTTTAAAAATTTTGAATCATTATAGTGTACACCTGTAACTGATATACATCAACTAAATTTCAATTAAAAAAAAAACCAAAACAGAACAAAAAACCCCCTAACCACCCAAACAAAGAACATATTAAGTCTATATTGATTCTTGTTTTAAATCAAACAGATATGGGTTTAAGGTCATTTAATCAATAATATTTCACAATGCCTCAAGTATAGATAGAATGAATCTATGTTGTATGCTAATGGATTCCACTTTGAAGGAGCAATGTAGGCTAGTTCTTTTCCTAACCTTAATTAATAAGATAGAAAATCCTAATAAGGTTCATTAAAGTCCTGATGTAACATAATAATGCTGGTTAATGATTATACTGTTAACAAATTTACCTTGTCTGCAATTTTACAGCAGCAGTCCATCCACAAGAAATCTTGAATTAAGTCGTCATCTACAACAAAAGATAGCTATGACTTGTCTTTTGAAAACAGGTGGTTTCCTTTTGAAGAATTAATTTTTACATAAGAAGATGACAAATGATGCTTAGAAATCAAACAAAAATGGCAGGACCAGGGTTGTCCAAGGTGTAGTTTTCAGTTCTTTAGCGTGTTTGCCATTGCAAGTGCTGTACAAAAAGCTACTGCTTTATTCTTTGGCTTCCCATCTGATTTGCCTTTATAGCCCAGACTGGAGGAAGAATGATAGAACTGTTTGATTTATTGAATATTTCTATAGCTCTTTTAGAAATATGTCTTGGGTAGCTCTAGATGAGCCTTTGTTGTTTTCCAAAATCAATCTTTAACAGGTGGAAATGGAATCTGATAAAAGATAAGTCTTTAAGACATAATGACTCAATGAATACTCTGTTTTCTAAATATGTTTTACTTTTTTTTTTTTTTTTAACTACTTTCTCCTTTTAGGTACGGGGTATTTTTAGTTGTGAGTTTTCTCTTCTCCTACTTATCTCTGTCCAATTATCTATTATCCCAATACACATGAAAATATCTATGTAAAGGAGATTCATAATTCATTAGTTATTTATAACTAACATTTAATTTTGGAAAAAACTGAGTATGACAAAAAGATCAACAAACATACTGTTAAAAAATGAATAACATCCAAAAATAGGTCAGAAACACTCACTCCAATTTTAAAAGGCTAAAATATATAATCCCAAAATATATGGGTAGCTGTCAGAATATAATTTGAGAAAGATCTACTTTTTTCCATTTCCCCCTGCATTTTAAGTTAAATAAGCATAACTTCTTGTTATATCCTAGAAATATCATCAATGTAGTCAAATAAATGGAAAGTTCCAAGTATAAGTACTGCTTTTTTGAGAATAATTAATTTCTGCCTTGTTAATTCCATTTCTATTTCTTAAATTACCTAAAATGGTAAAGCCATGTATTTTCTCTTATTTCTCACATTCAGTTACGAATGATAATAAAGTTTGTGGGTAATAACTTCACTCTACTCTTAATAAAGAGAGAGGGAAACTTTTATTAACAGCATTCTAGATCCTGACAAGGAACATCTTTATAGTTCAACATTTTCTACCTGTATTATTTACATTTTGTCTTCTATTATCTTATTTTCCTTTTCTTTAAATCTTAACCAGCTTGCCCTCCTTTTTTTTTTGTTTTAAAGATTTCTGTCCTCTCAGCAGGGCAAACACTCTTGTCCCCAACTCTCTCCTCCTTTATGCATATGCTTTCCTCTATAAGCAAGGAAAGCTGTTACCTGGATCTACCAGACAGTGATAGCTACTTGATTTCATTCAGTCCCGCAGATACTTACCAGAATCCATCTATCCAACCCTTTATTCCGTCTACCTTACTGCCTTACCTCAAAAAACAAAAACCAATCCTCTTTCTTGGCCAGTAGAAGTACTATAAAGAAGTTTCTTTTTGGCTATGTTTAAGAAGCTTATTAGCAAAGTAGCACTGTTTCATGATCTGAACAAATTCAAACTCAATTTCATTACATGAGCATGATGATAAAGCATAATTTTTAATAATATTCCCCAGATATAATACTGAAACTGCTCTAGGTTGACTAACCTTGCCAGTTTGCTCAGTTTCAGCACTGAAAGTCCTGGGAAACCCCTCAGGCCCAGTGACACTGGGTCAGTTGGCTCATCTGAGACTTTATGTAGTATTTATACTTTAGGTCAAACAAAACTCATGCTATGACCTTGAACTGCCCAGAATTTACATTGGACACTTGAATTTAAGTAGTCTAAAAGCTAGATGATGAATTTCTACTCTAAAAGTAATCAAAACAAACAAAAATCCAGCATTGAGGGGGGAAAAAAGAAAGGACTAAGGAAAACAAAAGGCAAATTTGGTTGGAGATAGAAAATCTGACATAGAAAATAACAGTATCCTCTTTATTATAAAAATGATAAAATAGATCTTATATTCTTATTTTTAAGTACTCTATAATTACCCCATTACAATATTTTAAACCTACCAAATAATTTAAAGAAAGCAGTCATTTCCTGACGCTGTATAACTAGACAGGGTCCTTTGGGGCGTTTAGACTTGTCGCTATTATGTGCATTTTTTTCAGATGCTGGCCAACTATCTTTAAAAATAGGACGCTTCAGGTTAATGGGTTTTTTAGGCTGATGTGATCTATTTGACTCTGATTTTACATGTACAGTGACAGTAGGTGGTGTCTCACAACATAGCTGATTATGCCTCATTTTGGTTTCCCACAATTCCTGTAAAAATAAAACACAGTTATGTATCACACTCTTGTTCACTTCTATATAAAAACAACAGATTGGATGACACTATCAGATGCAGTCATAGGAAATGTTACTGAACTTGCTACTAAAATGTTAGTTATGACAATGACTCACATGAGAAACTGCTTTTAGAATTTAGTACCAAGAAAATCTATGCTTCCTTTGGGTAACTGATATGCCTTCTCTTCCCAAATAATAAGATCCTGCATACTATTTTGCTTTGACTACTAGGGAACTCAAAACCAAATTTTAAATTATAGAAACTATGCTGAGTTTATAATGTATTTGTGGTATTCCTTTTTCCTGATAATTTTTATTCTGCTTGTATTGACAATTTTATCATATTATTATGTCAGTCAAAGTTTTTATACAATAAGGCAAACTACTTCCAGAACTAAATTATTATCAACATCAATTATTATATTAAAAAGCAATCTCACACACAAAAAAGCATATTTTCTAACTGGTTAATTCCTTGATATGTTATGAAACTCACTGATTCAACAAGCATTGATTGTTATTTATTGAAAAGTTAAATACAATTCTAGCAAAGAAATGCATGGTATAAAGTGCATTGAGGGATTCTCATAAATTGGTCACTTTAATATCTTCTTTTTTTACCATCTTTATTAGAGTATAATTGCCTTACAGTGGTGTGTTAGTTTCTGCTTTATAACAAAGTGAATCAGCTATACATATACATATATCCCCATATCTCCTCCCTCTTGCGTCTCCCTCCCACCCTCCCTATCCCACCCCTCTAGGCGGTCACAAAGCACCCAGCTGATCTCCCTGTGCTATGTGGCTGCTTCCCACTAGCTATCTATTTTACATTTGGTAGGGTCACTTTAATTTCTAAAGTTGTGAGTGTATGACTATGCTATTTGAGTGGCCAATTACCAGTGTGAATGAATGTAAACTGTTATAGACTAATAAAAATTGAAACAAAGTTAATCCATCAATATGTAACAATATGCATAATCATTACCATGTTTGGTGGTAATTAGTTCACGTGATTACTAGTTAGCATTACTTTTACGGTCAAAGTACTTATAGGGTAATAGGAAATGTAGTTATGAATAGCCAAAGCAGGCAACTACTCTAAGACCCTAATGAGAACCTCTGAATCCATAACTCACAGTGACCCAGGCAGCCATGCCTCCCTTGATGTTCAAGGAGTCAGGTACAGATTCTCCTTCCTGACCCTCAGCAACTTCCCTGCTGAAGGAAGGAATGGAAAGTAAGATTGGATATAGTGGGGCTAGATCAGCACTGTCCAATATAATGTGAGTCACTTTATATTTCTAAAGCCACATTTAAAAAGTACAAATAAGCAAGTGAATTTAATTTTAGGAATGTATTTTATGTAACCTAGTATATCCAAAATATCATTTTAACATGTAATCAATATAAAAACTAATGAGATACTTTACATTCTTTTTTTCATACTAAGTCTTTGAAATCTGGTGTTTACACTTACAGTGTATCTCAATTTTGGATGCTAAATTTCCAACAGTTAAAGTGAAATGTAGTCTTACCAAAACGATGATGTGGTACATAAGGGAAAAATATTTTACACTCCTTCAGTATTTAATTTTAAATTAAATAAAAGTAAAAATTCAATTCTTCAGTTGCAGTAAAAATTCTTCAGTTGCACCAGCCACATTTCAACTGCTCAACAACCACATATTAGACAGTACAGGGCTAGATTATGAAGAACTAGGCAGAGTAAATTATATTAAATTAATTCTATAATTGCTTCTCCTCCCTCTATTTTGCTTCCCTTCTCTCCTCTCATCTTTCTTCCTAGATCCTAAGGTCCAAGCAAATCGAAGGCAATTATGGAGTTGAGGGTGGGGGAGTGCTACAAACTCCATAGAAAAAGGAATGGGTGATTAATTGTGCCTTGAGACTTGTGTTAAGAACGTTTTGCTACTTCCTGCCCACCTCATCTGGGAGACAGCTGGAGGTCTCATCTGCATCTTTTTTTTTTTTTTCCCCTCAAAGAAAGAGCAACCTTACAAATCTAGATGGAAAAAACTAAACAGTCAGGATTCTCACATTGGGGTGTGGGGGCAGGCTTGGGGGAGTGGGGGACAGATGTGCCAGAATATAGAATGGTTGTGGCATATCTCCCAGGATGTCAGTTTTACTTAACGTTACTTAATGTTAAGTAACTTAAAAGTGTTGCTTTGTTAAAACAACCTTGGTTATATCATGAAATAGAATGCAAATTTTCTATCAATCAAAAAAATAAATATGTTTTACACTATTCTGCTTCATATAAAATTTGAGAAAACATTAAGAGTAGGAAATTCCTCAAATAGAGATTCACTGAGATTAATAACCAAACACTGGCAGGAGGGTTATGGAGAAGGACCTTAAGGAGAGAAGCTATCAATGCAGCATTTTGGTCAAATTCCAACTCGAGGTAACTTCTATTTTTGCTCTTCATTTAGACATACTAAAAGAATGACAACAGACAAATTATTAGTAGTATTTTTTAAGTTTGGCCGGCCGCGCGGCTTGCCGATCCTATTTCCCCGACCAGGGATCCAACACGGGCCCTGGCAGTGAAAGCAACGATTCCTAACCACTGGACCGCAGGAGAATTCCCAAGAATTTTTTTTTTTTTTTTTTTTTTTTTAAGACAGAGGATTTTTCAGCACGACAGAAGGCAGAGGGACAGAGCCACCTGAGAATATACGTTAAAATACTGGAGAATAGACCTGGATTAAGACCTGATTCTCACTAGCGATTGGGTCTTAGGCTATTTAACTTCTGGGCGCCTCCATTTTCTCACTTGTGATACTGAGATAATAAAAGCAGCTATTTTTTTTTTTTAGAACCTGGTACACAGTAAGTATTCAATTAAAGTTACTTACTAGGCATTGTTAATAATACATATTTTGTAGGCTTAGTGAGGAAAGGAACTATATGGAAAATGCACAGTGCTGAATGCTTAGCAAAATCTCCATACATGGCAGCACTATTATTGTATCTTTTTTACAGGAAGGGTGTCTTCGAAAGAAAGAAGAGTCCCAATATGACAGAAAACCAAATTTCACCTCAACCAGTACATGTAATTTAAATGTTAAAATTTTATTGGTAACAGAGACCATAGGTATTTTTTTAATGTGCTCATGATAAAGAATAAAATTTGCAGAGACAGGATCTCAATTTTAACATAGCATGGGTTTATCAGTCTTTAAATGTTAAATTACTTCTAAAGTTTATTTATTTATTTATTTTTTAATAGAAGCTAGTTGGCCTCCAGTCGTACTGGAAATGTAAGAAAGGGACATTAGTAAATTTTGATAAATGGGCCAAGGGCATAGCACCGAGATACAGCAGCTCAGGTCTCAGGATTCTGGTGCAGATGCTCCTGCGAAAAAAAGATGTGTTTAATGGGACGCGAGAAGAGGCAGGACGAACTCAAAATACCACTATCCGGCGCCCAGCAGGGAAAAGGCAGGTGGGCGGGCGTGCTGCGCGAAGGCACGAGCTCTTTCCTAAGGGCCTTCCTTCCCAAGGAGGGGAACGCCCGCTGAGGAGAGGGCACGGCTAGCACTTGGGGACGCATCTCCCCCCAACCCCTTTGTCCCCTCCCCTCCCCCGCCCACTAGTGAGCACGACCAGCTGCGCCAAAGAGCACTGTGCCGGCGAAGCCCGACAAACCCGGCCGAGGGGGGCGCCCCGCCTCCCTCTTTCTACTTCGCCGCCGTCCCCGGCCCCGCGGCCCTGCGCCGGCAGGCGCCGTACGACCGCGACGCCCCTTCTCCCCGCTGGCACCTGAGGCGGGGAACTCACGGGCGGAAGGGGCCAAGACGCCGCCGCTACCTCACACACTGAGGGTGGCGTCGTTGGGGGAGAGAGGGGACGGAGGAACCAGGCACAACCAAAACTGGAGAGTTGCCGGTGAGGCCCGAAGCCAGGGCGCGAGCGGAGAGTACCTGCGGAAAACCGAGGCTAGTGAGCGGGGGCCGGGCCGGCGGGCAGCCTTCCCCAGACGCCCCAGGCCTCAGACGGTTGCTCTCAGGTTACTCCACCGCGGCACGGCGGGCTCGGAGACCTCCCGCCAACCCGGAGCGAGGCCGGCGCGGGCCAATCAGCGCGCAAAGCCTGTCTCCGGGGGGCGGGGCCCGCCCAAGGCTCGCGCGTCTCCCCTCCCACCTCGCGCTGCACGCGCAGCCTCAGCCGCCTGCCCACCTTGTCCCGTTACCCGGCCTTGCTTTCCCTCCCGGCAAGGTCCTGGTAAAACGCCTCGACACTCCCAGACCGCTTCTTGCCTTCTAATGTAACGCCTTACCCTTGGACACTTACCAAAGTCAGGCTTGGATTAGAGCCATTTATCTTCCCTGCTGCGAGATGGAGAGGCCCTGCCGGGCTGGGACGTCAGGTCTTAACTTACCCCTCCTCCACCGCACCGGGCACACACACTGGCAGGAACGCGGTAAACGGAGACGTCAACAGCAGGAGGACGAAGAATCAGAGGTGAACTTCGCAGCAGCAATTGTAAATTACTGCTACGTTAAAATAACTGTAGAAACAGAGGAAGAGACAACCTAAACCAAAAAAGAAAGGTGTGAGCACCGTGGCTCTTTGTGAGAAGGGGTAATGTTATTCTATCCTGTTAAATCTATTGTTCCAAACTAATTTCTTCTACAGGAACCTTTTCTTTTTGACCTGGTGCCTGGGATGTAAGGTGCTTAATAAATGTTTGTTCAATGAATAAGTAAAAGGATTCTTCATAGCTTTTAAATTTTGTACGTGACATCTTTTACTCTTCGCTTCCCTTCTATCTAATGTATAACCTGCTTTTTTCCCCCTGTTAACGTATCATGGCCTTTTTTCATGTTGCTACAGTCTTTCTGAGTATTCTTAACGACTGCATAATAGTCCAGAGTGGATGGACCAAATGTAAATCATTTTGATATTTGCATTGCTTCTAGATTTTTCAGTTACCACAACTATCACACTTAAAAAGCAATTTGGCCTTGCGTATTTGTGGCACTTCCTAGCAATTAGTTCCTCAGTCAGCAACTCTGAAGAATGAATATTTAGTTCCCTTCTTTCTCGGGCTCTCACACAGCTAGATGATGGCAAAAAATCACCTACGTGAAAGAGGACACAATCTGCAAACTCATTTTTCCTAATAAGCATTTTGGATATTTTCCCCATGGCCCTTAAATGGGGGAATGAACCAAGAAGCATAAACTGGTTGTGAAAACCTTAAATACTGATTCTCCTAGGAAAACACTGCTTTGAGCCTCATTCTCTCTTTCCCTGGTGGTTCTCTTTTCCACAAGGTATCAGGGTTTATTGTGATTACTAATTTCCAGCCTTGAGTACACAGAATGTTTACTGAACAATGAATGACTACTACAGGCATACTGCTTTGTTTTATTGTGCTTCGCAGATACTACATTTTTTACAAATTGAAGGTTTATGGCAATCCTGCGTAGAGCAAGTCTATTAGCGCCACTTTTCCAGCAGCATTTTCTCACTTCATGTCTGTCACATTTGGCTAATTCTTGCAACATTACACACATTTTCATTATTATTATATTTGTTATAGTGATCCATGATCAGTGATCTTTGATGTTACTATTGTCATTATTTTGGGGTACCACAAACGGAGGTCATAAAAGCAAACAATGCATCTATAAATGTGTGTTTTGATTGCTCCACTAACTGGCCATTCTCTTGTCTCACTCCCTTTCCTCAGGCCTATTCCCTGAGACACAATGAAATTGAAATCAGGCCAATTAGTAACCTTACAGTGGCTCCTAAGGGTTCAAGTGAAAGGAAGAGTTGCATGTCTCTCACTTTAAATCAAAAGTTAGGCCTCGGGCTTCCCTGGTGGTGCAGTGGTTGAGAGTCCGCCTGCCGATGCAGGGGACACAGGTTCGTGCCCCGGTCCGGGAAGATCCCACATGCTGCAGAGCGGCTGGGTCCGTGAGCCATGGCCGCTGGGCCTGCGCGTCCGGAGCCTGTGCTCCGCAACGGGAAAGGCCACAACAGTGAGAGGCCCGCGTACCGCAAAAAAAAAAAAAAAAAAAAAAAAAGCTAGGCCTCTTTTCCATAAATGGGATTGCATATAAATTTATAAAAAATGAAATATTTGACATGTACAAAAGAATATTAGTAACATATATGCAAGCTTAGCATAAAACAAAACCTCAAGAAGCCACTGCCCACCCAAAAAGCATGAACCTAAGATCCAAGGAATAGAACATTAAACAATACTGTTGAGATTCTGTATGCTCCTCCTCCTCCCCTTACTTCCCAGCAGAGGTGACTTTTGTTTTTCCCATCCCCCCCTCCCCAACTTACAGGATCTTAGTTCCCCCACCAGGGATTGAAAGTGCCGAGTCCTAGTCACTGGACTGCCAGGGAATTAATTCCCCCATTCCATTTTCTTTTTAGATTTACCGTATTCTTAAACACAAATCTTGTTTGAAAATTTAATACTCTTTGTATTTTTCATAGTTTCAAGATTTAGACACACTAATGAATGACAGTAAATCATTTTCATTCCTGTGTAGGGTTATTCTGTAAATATACCATAATGAATCAATGCTTCTGTCAAGTCACTTGTGTTATTTTTTGCTATGAATGCTCTGAGTATTCCCATGCACAGACCTGGTTATCAGCTGCTATGCCTCTGTAAAGCCAAATTAGTTATTTATAGCTTGCACAGGCTCTGATGAGTTGGTGTCTGGTCAGTGCCCGTGTATTAAAGTTAAATATTTTGAATACTACAATACTTCTGTTTATATATGTATGCCCCATGGTGCACTCATGTAGTTTTTCCATAAATGCTTTAAAGTGAAACTGATGGGTTTTAGAGTATGCACAGTTTCAACTATACAAGATTATCAATGCTAAATTCATTTCCCAGGTAGTTTTACCAGTTTTAAGTAAGAGTTTCCATTAGTCAACATCTTGCCAATGTCATATTTTCAGTCTTTTTGTGACTAGATTATCTTTTAAGGTGTATTGTAGAGGACAGCTTTATTTTCAGCACCCCTTTTCTAGGAAATGTTCTACTGAACCTCCCAAACCACTTGGGTGTAGAGATAGCAGCTATATTCATGCAATATCATCTCTCTCCTTCCTCACTCACTGGAGTCATAAGGGCCGGCCCTTGATTCAAGCTGGGCAAAATTCCCTTCCTGGAATTTTGCACTATGACCAAGAATGCAGCCTGGCTGACTGCTCTTTTATATGGTAGAGATAAAGTCTTCAGAAGTATTAGGATAGAACAATAGTTAGATAGAAGAACTTTATAAAATTTCTCTCTAGAATAGTTTTCTCCACTGTACCTCACTTTTTTGCTCATTAATGAAAATATCTTTCTTGATTTCTCCCCATTCTTGCTTCTGCCTATGACATAATCCTTATTTGTTAAAATGAGGCAATAGCCTCTCCACTTTCAAGTTTTGATTCCTGGTTTTAAGTGTTCATATTTACTAGGTGACTTCTGAAACACAAAATGTTACACAAAACTATATCACTTTCCTAAAAATATTCGAAGTGGCTCACAACAAAGATGACTTTAAGGTCAATAAAACAGAACCTAAATAAACTATAGCAAAGGGGAGGCAAGAAAGTACCCATAAGGATCTTGGAAAGTTTGATTCTGAACAAGAGGCAACTTCCCCAGTGTGCCTGTCAGCAGCTAGCTGAGAAACGTTCCTTCAACTAACTGAACACTGACTTCTCATAGTTACCAATATTTTACCAAATAAGGATTACAGGTTTGACAACAAACGATTTTTGCCATATAGACCCAGATCAATTTTCTCCTGAGACTATTCCAGCATTCTTGTACGAGACAAAAAGCAGTTAGATGAAGATAAATAAAAACTGCAACTATATTATTTTTTGCTAATTTCTCCAAAAGGTCACAGTGTCTAAATAGTGGTAGTAATAGTGATTTTTGAAACTCATTTGCCATTCATTAAACCAACATTTGCATACGTACTATGTGCTAGGCACTACTCTAGAAGCTGGAGACACATCAGCGAACAAAAGAGACAAAAAATCTCTGTCCATACATTCTAGTCAAAATTAGACTGATCTAGACCCAAAGGCTTCTAAGGACCAAATGGAACAACTTTTTGAAGGAACGCCCAACATATTAACGGATCTGTACAGCAAATAATTGATTTTCTTTCAAAAATGGAATAGATCACAATTTGTGTTAACCTGTCAGTGAGGATACCCAAATAGTTTAGGATACTCACTTAATAAAAGATTAGGGTACCCCACGAAAAACAGGCTGTACAGTACAGTAATAGAAAGCTGTTTTTTTGTAAACATATTTATTGAGTATATATGGTGTACTGCTATAAAGTGGTGTTTTCTTTTTTAAATTTATTTATTTAATTTATTTTTGGCTGCGTTTGGTCTTTGTTGCTACTTGTGGGCTTTCTCTAGTTGCGGCGAGCACGGGCTACTCTTCGTTGCGGTGTGCGGGCTTCTCATTACAATGGCTTCTCTTGTTGCGGAGCACGGGCTCTAGGCGCGTGGGCTTCAGTAGTTGCAGCTCGCGGGCTCTAGATCATAGGCTCAGTAGTTGTGGCACACGAGATTAGTTGTTCCACAGCATGTGGGATCTTCCCGGACCAGGGCTCAAACCCGTGTCCCCTGCATTGGCAGGCGGATTCTTAACCACTGCGCCACCAGGGAAGCCCTATTAAATAGAAAGCTTTTAACCTAGATTTTTGATATTATCAAATTAATTTCAGTGGTGTTACCAGGCCCCAGCTAGAGATGGGCTACAAAAACCTGGGGCAATTATCCCAGGAGACAGGGATTTGTTTCTAAAACTTAAGGCATATACTGCATAACAGATGTGTAACAGAGAATGGGACCCTCGGCCTCACATAAGTTCTTCTGAGGTATTGAAGTAGGTTATTAATTTTTAATTTGGTAAGTTGAGTAGTTTCCTGAGTTCGACCGGAATACGATTTTTCAAGTGATTCCACCCCTCACGCCTGCATTCTCAGGAATCCTTATTACACTAAGAGAGCTAGAGACAGAGCTCATGTTTACCCCAAGAATGGTGGGGTAGGTGTCAGTCTGTTAATAATCTGTTGGTAAGTGACAGCATTTTCAGAAACTATGCCAATATCAGTTTTTTAAAAAATATTGTATTCAATTTCTTTTTTTAATTAATTAATTAATTTATTTATTTATGGCTGTGTTGGGTCTTCGTTTCTGTGGGAGGGCTTTCTCTAGTTGCAGCAAGCGGGGGCCACTCCCCATCGCGGTGCGCGGGCCTCCTTTCACTATCGCGGCCTCTCTTGTTGCGGAGCACAGGCTCCAGACGCGCAGGTTCAGCGGTTGTGGCTCACGGGCCCAGCCACTCCGCGGCATGTGGGATCTTCCCAGACCAGGGCTCAAACCCGTGTCCCCTGCATTGGCAGGCAGATTCTCAACCACTACGCCACCAGGGAAGCCCCCAGTATCAGTTTGAGAATCACATATTGGAGGCAGTCGGATAAAAAAAGTTTCATCACCCCGATTTTGTTTCCTCAGCTCTTTTTTCCTAAGAAATACACTAGGAGATTTAAGACTTAAGTTATTCCAGTTAAACGTATTACATACATTAAGGACTCCTCTGGACTACTTCTTTCCTGTTGTACTGTATTCTGTCTTTGTGACTTTGTCAATAATCATGTTTATACATGATAGACTATAAATTAGTGTGCTAAAAGGCACACTATTGTAATAATAATTATAGTTGGTGTAAAAGTCTTGATAGCTTCACATGTTTAGTTGTGGTGTCATTGCTCTCTCGGGAAGAATTTTGGCCTGTATATCCACTGAATAACTCAGATTTAAGAAGCTGCAAAAATTAAAACACATCTTACTTGGTGAGCCCAGGCCAGGCTTGACTGAAAACCTCCAGGGATAGATCTTAGGTTCCCACCTTTTTGCACGCAGTGTCAAAGAAATGCTGATTTTCTTTCTGACTTACTTCACTCTGTATGAC